CCAGAATTCCTATGAAAAAGGTAAAACTTTAAAAAGGTTAAGAATCCCACACAAAGAGGGCAGAGAGTAGAACAATAATCCATAAAGCAAGGTGATGTCCAAGCACCATTATGATTAAAAATCCCAGTGGGAAAGTCCCTTCACGTGATCCTACTGGAGAGAAAACAGCACTTCCCAAACATCAGACATGTTCAAGTCAAATCCTGGAAATTTCTGAAAATAAGTTATCCTCATTCTTTTCAGGTTCATGTGATGCTGGTCAGGCTGCTTCAAACACCATCACTCTTCAAGGTCTGGGGTAAGTTTACACGAACCATCTTTGTCCAGCGTTAGAGAACTGTGGCAACTCAGTCCAGAGAGATTCCCAAGATGCCTCTAGTCCATGTTGGCCGGGCCACAAACCCTGCTGGAACAAGAACGTGCCAGCGACCCCCTCTAGTGCTGACAGAAGCAAGCTTTGGGAAGGCCGTCAGGCCTCACCGAAACCCCTCCTGCCGTGCTGTTTCCTTGGCTCTGATCTTTGGGAGAAAAGGGAAAGTCAGTTTTCAGGTGCTGTATAATTCTTCACAAATAGTAGGTCTGGCCAGGAAATGAAGTTAAAAGGACAGGCCTACTACAGGTCTCTCAGAGTCGCTGCCAAAAGCAAAAGCATCCTGGGGTCTCCATGCTTGGAGCTCTCACCAACTGCACAAACGGAAAGTCCAGACTTTGAGGTGATCTGCTCCCCAGGGACGCCCTCAGGATTCCCTTTGGGAGCCCCTGTGGAGCCCGTGATGGGTTTCATAAGCTCAGAGCTGTCTCCCACCTTTGTAGCCTATTTGGGGAGCCCCTGCTCCAGGGCTCCCTTCCAGGACCACCTCCTCCTGACTGCCCACAGGTTTCCAGCCAATAGGCTTCATCAGCTCTTACTGACCATCTCCCCTCCCTCCTGAGCCAAAGCACATGGGCCCTGGGGGCGATGGGGTCGGGTGGGGGACAGTGCTGACTGAGGGGCCCCGTTGGCACCACTTCACCCTGCACCACCGGCTTCCAGCCCCTTCTCCTGAGGATCACCCTCATCTCGCTTTCCAGACCACTTCCTGTGGGGACCCCTAGTCCAACACACAGGTCTGCAAGTGGCTCAACTCCTTTCCCACGGGGTCCCTGGGCCCCAAGCAAATAGGGATATGAACAAGTGTCCCAACATCCAGAACATTCCATGACGGCCAAGGAATCCAGGGACATTCTAGACCAGTTAGGAAGCTGGTCATTCAGGGCAAGCAAATAATATCTAAAGGTGCCGATCTGACATCCCTGATATCCAGCCCCAAATGTAATATATAAAGTCTGGATTTATACACTAAAGACCCAGAAAGAGATCTAAACTTCCTTGTAATACGTAAGGCTCGTTATTAGTCACCTTCCCCAGCGTCTCTTTTGGAACATCTTGGTTTTCTTTTCATTTCCCCTCCACTCAATCTCACCGGCTGGGGTGTTTCTGTGGACTCTGGCCATGCCCCCTGCCTCTGTGTCCTGGCTCCTTGAGCCCCTCGGCACTCAGCCAGTGTGGGTCCTATTAATAAAAGGATCGCTTCGCCAGCTGCCAACTCCGTGTGCAGGGCCCCTCTGCACCCCGTTCTCCATCTCCACCCATTGTGAACCCCACAACTGCTTCGTGCCACTCTTAGCAGCCGGTGACCTCAACCTAAGTGTACAAGTGAGAAGGAGCAACCTAAACCGGTCACTCAAATTCTATTTCTCACCGTCACTTAGACAAATTCTTTTCTTTTCAGAATTTCAGATAAACACGCTTCCTTCACAAATTTGGATGGTAAAGTGAGTGTCACTCCACACAGCAAGTGCAAAGTGGTTGTGAACGGCGTGCCCATCACCACCAGGACGAGGCTGCAGCATCTGGTAAACGTCTCTGCCAGGGCACAGATGCTCCTAAATCCAACCAGGGACCACTCCAGAGCGGAGGCTGGACACTAACCAGCTTGGTCCTTCTACTGTGGTGTCGCGAAGATGGTCACAGCTGTGGAGTTGGGCGGTCTGAGAGTAAATCCCTGGGCCTCCTCTAAAACACAGAGAGGGGTGAATGAGATGATAACCCAGCACTAACATTTTGTGACATCTTAGATATTTTAGAAACCTGCCATCCTCTCCCCAGCAGCCCAGCCCGAGTGCCCCGCACCACGGGGCCTCGGACCAGCCTCCCTGCAGCCCAGTTCCCTCTCCAACACATTCTCCACATTGGAGCCACAGCGAGCCCTTTAGACAAGCAAACTGGATTAGGCCACCCGCTTCTGGAAGTCCTCCGGTGACCTCCCCTCTCCTCCTTTTTAGGACACCTGTGAGAGCTGCCCCATCTCCCCAGCCCCTCGGGCCTCACTTCTCTGTATGCGCTTCTAACGGTCACACCCACCTTTTGGGTGCCCAAAACATCCCGGTCTCTGTTCCCTGCCTCGCCCCAAATTCCCGCCCTTGAAGTCCCACCTTAAACAGTGTACCCTGGAAGAGGGCTTCTCTAATCCCCAGTGCGAATCGCGCCCCTTGGCACACTCTCGGAAGCACCGCCCTTTTTCAAGTGCCTCTCACAGGTTACTACAGCCGTAGTTTATTAAGTCATGCGGCGGGCTGGGTCTGTTTGGTCCCCACGGACTCCCAGAACCTGAAGGAGAGCCGGCGGTCCTTGTGAAATAAAGGAAGAAAGGAAATGAAAGCGTGCACGCAAAAGCAACACGCCCCCGCAGGCCTTCCCTCCTGGTTCACGGGCCTCTTCCCACAGCCGGGCTGGGCGCGCGCGGGCCGTGACCCTGCCTCCGGGAGCAAGCTGACCTCACCCCCTCTGGCCTCCGGAGGGTCCTGTGAGGTCAGCACCCTCCCTCTGAGCCCGCGTCTCCTCCCTAGGACCGCCTTATTTTGGGATCCAACAGTGCCTACCTCTACATCGGGTTTCCTGCTGAGCGAGGCGGTGAGGACTTGAGCAGGTTTGATTACGACTTTTTCCAGCTGGAGAGAGCAGCTGCGGAGGGAGTGAGTGTGGACAAGCTCGGTGAGCGCCCCGGCCCGACTTCTGGCATTTTCCATGGGCTGATTTGAAAGCTGCTGCTTTCACTGTGTGCTCTCCTGTTTTCCCTCAGAAAAAAATCTTTTACTGTGTCAATGTGCAACGTTTAGAAAGTTAAAATGTGATTTACATCTCAAAGATTTGTTTAATTCATTGAACTGTCTCCCACATCAATGGAGTAGAGAGGAGAGCAGTACAAAGAGCAAATGGAGGGAAGCATGCTGAAAACGAGACTGCTGTTAGACGAAGCTAGTTAATACCTTCACGGTAATGATCTACTGCTCAAAAATCATTTTAATTTGCTGATCTTCTACAAATTAACCTCTAATGGCTCAGAGTCCGGGCCCTAATCAATAGTAAGTATTCATAGTAAGTTCAGTAACCCACTGTTATCCACAGGGGATATGTTCCAAGACCCCCAGTGGATGCCTGAAACCTTTGATCGTACCCAACGCTATATATACTATGTTTTTTCCTACACATACATATCTATGGTAAAGTTTCACTTATAAATTAGGCATAGTAAGAGATTAACAATTATAACTAATAATAAAATAGAATTATAACAATGTACTGTAATAAAAGTTATGTGAATGTGGTCTCTGTCTTAAAACACTGTACTGTACTCACTCTTTTCTTGGGATGATGTGAGATGACACAATGCCTACGTGATGAGATGCAGTAAGGTGAGTGACGTAGGCATTGTGACATGGCGTTATGTTAGGCTACTGTCAGGTGACTTGAACATGGACACTGTGATACCCTGACAGTCCATCTGATCATCAAGATGGCTCCTAAGTGACTAAGGGCAGGTAGTGTGTACAGCGTCCTGTGCCAGCTGTGCTTTTCTCAAGGACACGACCTCTGCCTGAACTTGACTTACCACCCCATGGGTGGAGAGCAGTGAGATGCCCCCACATATGTGCAAAACAGTTCCTCCCTTTTCCTATACCAGAGGTGTTTTTCTCACAATTTTAGAAAAATAAATTGATTTGAAATTCGCCTCCCAAAGAACAGAGAGAGAGAGAGAGAGAGAGAGAGAGAGAGAGAGAGAGAGAGAGGGAGAGAGAGAGGGAGAGAGATTCACCTCCTTGCTCTCTTCTGATGTTCNCTGCTTATCAGATGCAACTCTGTGGCTGGCCGTTTGTATGTGAGAGACTGTGTGATGCCGAGGAAAGAGAAAATGGTACCCAGGAGTCCTGGGCTCTGGTCCCGCATCTGTCACAGACTGTGTAACTTGGGGCAAGCCATGTAAACCCTCTGTTTCTCAGTGAAAGGAGAAAGGGTGCCAGGTTTGCAAGTAAAAACACAGGATCCCCAGTTAAACTTGCATTTCAGATAAAGAGCAAGTTATGCTTGAGCACGGGTATGGCCCATGCAGTATTATATTTTCTCTGGCAGCTCTAGACAGGAGTGAGTGAAGCTGATAACCTCTAAGATTCCTCCTGGCCTGGGGCACATGGCAGAGTAGTCGCTGACAGCTCCAGGGGTTGTTATTACAGCAGCAACAGTGATTGAACAGGCTTTTTCATGAACTGAGTCAGCCCAATTGGCTGGGTGTGTTGCAAGCCCAGGACAGGTCAGCGGCTGGGCCCTGGGCCCTGGCTGAGCTGCTTCTGTTTATTGGAACCATGGAAGTCACTCAAGTCCCTTTTGGTCTTAATGGTTTACTGGGACCCGACAGGGTGGAATCTGGAATCACCTGGGGGGTGAGAGGCGCCCACTTTGGCCGTTTGCGACCAGAGCACGCCCAGCTTCTGGCCAGTGCACTGGCAGAGCTGCCTCCACTGCGAAGGAGTCCGAGGCCTGAGTGTATGTTCCTCCTGGCACACGACAGGGCCAAAAATGTCCGGAACAAAGCCGTGGTCAACACCTCGATGCTGATGAGAGAGTCGAGGGCAGAGAACAGCATGCTGCTGCTCAGATGTGGAAACTCCAGAATTACAGGTAAGCTGAGTCAGGAGTCAGCACTGAGTCCAAGCCAGCAGCCCGAGCAGGGGCGGTGCAGGCTGGGCCTGGGGCCTGGGGGTGGACGCCGGGAGGGTCTGAGCAGGGCCCGGCCCAGGCCTGGGGCACCGAGCAGCTTTGTCCAGCACATTCTGGCCCTGACCTTGGGGGAAAAAAATCACTTCATTTTGAGATATATTCACATGCAGTTGTAAGAATTGTGTCCCTGCCCTTTTAAAACAGTCTTTGTAGTTCATTTTATTATTTATTGTCCTCAATCACTTTTAATACTTCAGTGTTTTTTTTTCTGATGTGTATTATCGTCACGTTTCCATATAGTATGTTTATACTGCTATTTCTTGATTCCCCCCCCCATTCTTAGATATTATCTAGTGAATTTCTCCTATGGAAGATGATTTTTGCATTCATATACTGCTATCCGCCTCATACAGATATATCACAATCTTGATTAAATATTTTGTATGTTTTTATATTATAGTTCAAGATTCAATGAGAAAAACAAACCATTCTTGATATTTCAAAGAGGGTATTTGATGTTTGCAAAACCATTGAAAGGCCCTGGGAGCCCGAGTCAGGGAAAGCCATGTTACAGGGATTTGTAAAAAAACAAACAAACAAAAAAAACGCTACCATTAATCACCTGGGCGGCCTTAATGCCATTTTTATTTTGAGGTCATTATTTCTACTGGGACCACTTTTTCCTCACCCAAGTTGGATGGTGGCCATTTGACGTTTATTCTGCTGATGGCATCACAGAGTTACGTGATGTTTGAAGCTCAAGAAGCATCAACAGCAGCTCCCTCGTCTAAGACCACTCAGCCCCGGCTGTGCATTAGCGTCACCTGGTGCCTGGACACCACCCAGATCAATCAATCAACCACGGGGGCAATGGCGCTTCGTCAAGTGCCCCAGGTGACCTCACTCTGCAATTAGTGAGAACCACAGCTTCCAGTTAAGGCCTCAGATTTCAGTTTGACAGCGTGAGGTTCATATAATCTTAGGCCCACTAATAATTTAGAATGAGACNTTTAACCTTGCCTACTTTAAAATAGTTCATACTTGAGTTTTTCCAGTTGTTAGTACCTGTGGGCCTCAGTGGGGCATTCCCCCAAGAGTCTGGACTAGAAGGTGGCAGTAAGATGCCCTCTGAATGGCAGACTGCAAAAGCCAAACCAACGGGTCTTGGCAGATGTGTGCCAAGTCACCCGGGGGGACAGGATGACACCCAGACCTGTGAGACAAGGCCCTGGCTGAGGCATCACTAGGCTTTAACAAAAAACATGCGCTGGGTAGGAGGTTGGGGGTGGTCATTGGTCATCTCAGGAAGCAGATAAAAAAGAGAATTTGCAAAGACAACGTGCAAGCTCTAGAATCTCTATGGCTCCAATCTAAAACCTCATTTTCTTCATTACTAAAGCATCCATTTGAAAATACAGATGGTCACTGACTTAACAATAGTTCGACTTAGAATTTTTTGACTATAGGGTAGTGCAAAAGCCTTACATATTAAGTGAAACAGTACTTTGAATTAGGAATGGTGATCTTTTCCTGGGCTGGCCATGTGCCCTACGGTCCTCTCTCATGATGCTGGGCAGTGAGCTGCCGCTCCCGTCAGCCCCGCCATCACCAGGGTAAACACCCGGCACTCTGCAGTGTACTGTGTACCAGTGTTTTTTGTGGATATTCTGTTTTGTGTTTTCACATCCCCTCATGTCTATGAAACACCCATGTGTGTCTCCTGCTTCTGGTGAGAAGAGGTGGAGGAAGGCAGTTGCTCTTGAGAGGCAACTCAAGGTAAATTGCCCAACTGTAGGCTGATATAAGTGTCTGAGCACATTTAAGGTGGGCTAGGTTGAGCTATGGTGTCAGGGAGGTTAGGTGTATTAAATGTACTTTCAACTTACGATGTGTTCAACTTAAATGATGGGTATATCGGGATGTGACCCCATCGTAAGTGGAGGAGCATCTGTATTGCTGTGGTGATTAAATGAGGTGATATAAATGAACAAGTTTTCAAAGCTAAACACAGATAAAGGATCATTCACCAGGCTCCTGTGCTCTGGATCATGGCCAGGTCCATCGGTTACTTGCAGCTACCTGGGCAGTCATATTCCCTCCTGTCCACCCTCAGGGACCCTGCCCACCTCCACTTCATCACAATGCATGTTTTCTCATTCAAATTCTAGGACAATTAATCTGAAGTCGATCGCGAGACTTAAAACCATACAAGTGGCTACCTAAACATGAGCAACTCTTACAGGTCTCTGCAATGCTAACATTTGACTGTCATAAAACCCTGAGTAAACCTGNAGAGAGAGAGAGAGAGAGAGAGAGAGAGAGAGAGAGAGAGAGAGAGAGGGAGAGAGAGAGGGAGAGAGATTCACCTCCTTGCTCTCTTCTGATGTTCTTTACCAAAACCAAGTTAGGCTGTGCGGTACCAAGCCGCGATACTCCATCTGCTCATTTCCTGACTCACAGGGCTGACTGCACACCTCCTCCCAGCCCAGAGTTGGCGGCACGTGGAGGCTGAACAAGCCTCAGACTTTGGGCTCAAGGTGCTCAGAACTTTATGGAAACTGTGGGTCCTCAACACGGCAGCTGGTGGGAGGGTCTGAGGAGTGAGACGCAGGGCCAAGGGCACAGCGTGAACCCATGGGCAGGGAATCCCTCAAGAGCGGAGAGCTCCTGACAAAGGTGGCACCGAGCTAGGTCTGGCAGGGGGTCTGCTCTCCCATAATCTCCACGCCCCTCTCCGCCAAGCCTCCCCACATTGAATAGAAGTGACAACAGGTTGTTTGCTGGGCCAGCCGCAGCTTCAGGATATACTAGTACCCCCAGACCTTCCTGCTAGGGAACCCCCCCACCCTCCTTCCTGGACAGTCTGGGGCATCTTGGGTCAAGGACCCTGAGACTGAGAATGGCAACCAGGGTTCAGAGGGCCTCCTGTCACGATGCTGCCAACGCCTGGGTTGAAATGAGCAACTTCTTAAATAAAAGCCACGCAGCGTCTTTCTTCCCTACTTATTTACATTTTTAAAAATGACATGCTTGTAATTTTAAAGTGTAGCTATTTGATGAACAATTGAATGAATGACTAAATGAATGAATCAATAGGTATATCAATTTCTTCATGGCTGAAAAGTGTCCCGGAACAAATGGCTGACTTTCACTCCCATTCTGACTTTTTCCTAGGTGCTGGAAACAGCGGGGATGGGAAGGCAGACCCCAGCGTCCTGGCTGTGTTCCAGGACTACGTCAAACTGATGCCACTGGTCGCAGAAGCAAATCAAATGAGTGAAGAGCTGAAGAAGGTAAGAGCTAGAAAATGGTATAATGTCAGGTCCAGAACGGACCTCGGAGAATAGGTTCAACCCCCCTCATTCCCACTGCCCCAAACTGGCTTCATGGTACAGAGGAAGACACAGAGGCCTGGAGAGGTGAGGTGCTTTGCCCAAGATGCCCCAACAAGCCCGTGACAGAATCCAGGCCAACACGCAGGCCTTCCCGTCCCAGCCCCTGGGCAACATTCCTTCTGCTTCTGGCCCACCACAGCCACCAGGACCAAAGACCAACACCCCATCCCAGATTGTCCCCCAGGGGGGCCTCTCTGGGTACAGACACATTGATGGCTTCTATATCACAGAGAAGACCTGTGTTGGGGTTAGCTCCCTGGTGACACAGGATCCTAATCATCAGGAAACTCGTAAGAGGCGTCATCACTTTGGTAAGGCCTACAAGTGTTAGTTCCGGGATACTGGTTAGGAATTTCTGATGCTTTGTCATTTGTCTTGGTGGGACTTCCAAGGAACAAGAGTTGGACCATCCTCTTAAAGTCTGAGCGTGGGGAGAATGAAAAAGAAATGGCCAAGATGATATAGACTGATAAATGTAAGATTATTTCATGAGACGTGTTTCTCTTACCAGGAACTTAAAATGGAACTGAAAGTGAAGAATTTGGCGTCGTCAGATTCCAGGGGCAATGACCTACAGAAAGAGGTCATGGTGAAGGTGACCAACCAAAGGACTCACGAGGTGAGGCTGCCTCTGGGGGCAGGAGTGAGCCTTCACAGGGGCTTCCGAGGAGCGTTCCTGGGTCAGTTTTACCAGCTGCAGCCTGTGCAGACCCAGCAAAGGGGCGAGATGTGTTCCAAGTGTGAGCTGGGCTTCTGGGGGACAGATTCTGGGGAGAGGAGAACCCCGCCTCCATGTTTCTCCTCCTGGGTCCCTCTCCCCCACAGCAGCCAGGTCCTGGGATCTTTCCTAACCAGCAGCATGGAGCATTGTCTGCTTGTTTTTAACACGATGCAAAGGCTTTAGTACCAGAAGGGAGCCCGAAAATGCGCATGCACGCACAAGAGAGCGAGCTGCCATTCTGAAGCCATGAGGAAGTCCACACTTCTTCCATTAAGAATCCAGAAAAGGCAGTCTCACCACTCTGCTGGCTGGTCCTTTCCCGTGTTTCAGATTGCCCACAGTCAGGAAGGTCCTTTCTAGGAACTTAGGACCCGTTTTCCTCTCCCTCTGCCCATCTTTTGGTGTCCTTTATGTCCCGTGAGTGGGGGAGCAGCCCTGTAGCTGAATGCTCACTCCTTAGCCACTCTTCAGACAATGTGCCCCTAATTCCCAGGTGACTTTGGGTGCTGTCCCTTCCCCAAATTCTCAGTGCACACGCCCTTCCTTAGCGGCAGGTCTTGTAGCAGAGGTGCCACTGGAGGAGGAGCTGGCCACGGGTGGGGACTTCCCGGTCACTGGATTGTATGCTTTACTGAGCAACTAACTGGTTTCTCTGGGTTCAACTTTTCTGCTCATTGCCTTAAAATTGCTAACATTTTCTGGGTGAAGATCAATTTTTAAAAGCTTTTGAAAATTGTGAAATGTGACCAACACAGAGAAAAGACTACACATGGATATGTTCACGTTATATAGTAAACACACAGGTACTCACCATCCAGTTCAAGAGGCTTTGCACTCGTGTCTGCCAGGTGCCAGGGCCACCAAGGTCATCGCTCATTTAACTGGCCCCCGGGCTGTGAACACCCAGGGAGCAGCCTGAGTAAGGGCCACCTACTTCTGAGACTTTCCTTTCCTTTGTCCTCTCTTCCTCTGACCAGCACCAAAGGGGGCCTCCTCTACGTCTCCTAGTGTGGAGGAAAGGGGGAGACATGTGTCTGAGTCGGTTCAAGCTGCTATAGCAAAATACCAAAGACTGAGTGGCTTAAACAACAAACCTTTCTCACAGGCCTGAAGGCTGGGAAGTCCAAGATCAAGGTGCCAGGGGACCTCATGTCTGTGGAGAACCTTCTTAGTTCCTAAAATGGCCATCTTCTCGCTGCGCCCTCACGTGATGGAAGGGGCGAGGGAGCTAGCTCCCTGGGATCCCTTTCATAAGGACACTAATCCCATCCATAAGGGTTCCGCCCTCATGACCTAATCATCTCCCAAAGGCCCCACCTCCTAACACCATCCCATTGGGGGTTAGGCGTCAATATATGAATTTGGGGGGACACAAACATTCAGCCTATAGCTGCATGTTTGATGCTGGCTCACCTCACACACCCAGTGTCATTCTCAGAGGTCTCAGTGTGATGCGGGAAGGTCTCCTGTAAGACGCCCCACCCTGGGGAGTCAGCCTGGACTTTGGTGTTTTTTCTGGCAAATGCCATCAGGGCAAAGAAGCTTTGGTGATCCAATACTCCACATGTCTTTCTGGGCTAGGCGTTCCCCCAGAATTTGGTTTTGCAGTTTGCTGCGGTCTTGGCAGATCTTGTTTTAAGGAGATTTTTCATTTTTAAAAACTTTTTTCCATGCTATTGTTTTTTACTGTTTATTTCTTATTACAGTTTAAGGTGATTTGAAAAATATTTTATTCAGCCTTTTATTGGGTTGTTGGAAAAGTCATGATGTATTTTTTTCTATGTTTTTCGTTGCAAAAATGCGTCATGACTTCTCCGACAACCCAATATATTGTTAGCAGGAAGGTTACATGAATAACACAGGCTGCCATGTTCAGAAATAGAATGCAAAACAGTGTTTTCACATTTTATTGTTATGTGTGTCGAGTGGGGAAGCTGAGGCCTGGGTACATTCTGAGACACAATTTTCCTTCGGCCTAACATCACTGTCTCAGTCATGAATGAGCTTTTGACAGGACCGCTTCTGCATAAACCACACTGGGTTTTCTTTTAAACGACTGTGCACTAATTACTTTTATGGTGATTTCCCATTTTTCTTTTTTCTTATGCAGAGATTAATCTTACTGATCTGTCACCTTTAAGGGTTGTCCATTTCTACCTTTTTTTTTTTTTTAAGATTTTATTGGGGAATTGGAGGAAGGGGAACAGACAAGTTGCTGTCTTTTTGTTCTTCAGTCTAGTTGTGGAGGACATTGCCTTACTGGCTCAAGTTGGTATTATCATTGCGCTCTTCCCGGGTGAGGCAGTCACTCGCCGGCCATTGGATGACCGCTCATGGTGACTCACAGCAGCCAAGCTCCAGGTCGAGCTGTTGTTCACCATCTTAGCTGTAGAGGGCGCAGCGTCACTTGCCCATGTGGGATCTGAACCGGTGGCCCTGCTGCTCAGAGCTCACACTCCCAAGCCAACGAGCCACTCGGCCAGCCCCATTTCTACCTTTTAAAAGTACCGGTGACCTTTCCTCAAACAAAGCCTTCCTCAGGAGCCCTCTGAAAGGCTGGTAGTAACTCCTGGTAGTTTCTTGGGACATCTTCTGTGTGGTTTTGAAGGCTACGAGACAAGGCTGGTGGGAGCAGCAGTGGGCTGCAGGTGCAGACACCGTGGCACTTTTGGGTGGTGGTTCTTGTAAATGTTCACTCCAGACCACATGGACAGTCAATGCAGCAGCAGCTACATGGAGGAGACAGCGTCCACTGGCTCTTGTGTGACGGTTAGAGCCATACATCGCAGACAAGTTCAGGAGCAAGCCAGGGCCATGTGAGGGCTCGGTAGGGTTTTCTAAACAGGAAATGCAGCCAGCTGGCAGTTGCTTTCGGCAGTACCTGCCTAACAGCTGTGGGCTCAGGCGAAACACACATCCAGCCAGGGAGCCAGGTAACCCAGCCTGTCCCCAAGCCTTGCTGACCTGCCCAGGATAACATCTGTTTTACCTGTCCCAGGGCCTGCGGTCTGATGCCACAAGTAAAGGCAGTGGGCTGATTTCATTCGATTCCCATTATCTTAGTTCCCAGCCTGAAGGTCTTTAAAAACCCCAGACTAGAATTCTTGTTGTACTCTGCTCCCCACAGTATGTGCCACAGCCAGGTTCTCATTTAGTTTTTTTTTTTTTTTTAATATGCTCCATTTCTTTTCTCATTTAGTCTTTCCAAGCCTCTGCGAGAGGGATACCGTGTTCTTCACTTTGAGGCAAACAGAGAAAGATGAAGTTTTTTAGTGTCTGGAGGAAGTCCTTTTTATGAAAATACGTCACACTTGGAAGAATGATTTATCTGTTAGTTTTTTGGGTTTTTTTTCCCAGTTGCTTAGAGAAAGAGTTGCTGGTTGTACCTGGTAACCACTTCTGAAGTGACATTTATGTTCAAGAAATATCCTATTTAAGTAGAAGCCCTTGTCCTGTGGCTTATGCTCTCGTCTTCTCTCAGTAGCCAGTGTTGATACTTGGGTCCCTCACCTAGTGAAGGGACAGACACTGGCAGGTTCTTGTCCTGGACTTTCTGCTCACTGGGTGTGAGCACAGATACTTATTACTCACAGTTTATAGGTTAGGGATCCAACGTGGATCTCACTGGGCTAAAAACAAGGGGTCGGCCGGGCTGTTGTGCTTTCTGGAGGCTCGAGGGAGAATCTGTTTCTTTGCCTTTTCATCAAGCTTCTAGAAGCCACCAGCAAGCCTTGGCTTATGGCCATCTTCCTCCATCTTCAGTCAGCCACACAGATATCTCTGACCCTGCGTCTGTCACATGTTTCTCTGACCCTCTGTCCTCCCTTCCACACAGGCCCATGTAATTACACTGGGCCTACCTGGAGAATCCAAGCTAATCGCTGTAAGGTCAGCTGATAAGCAACTGCAAGTCCTCTCTGCCATGTAACATACTCACGAGTTCTGGAGACTGGGACATGGACATCTTTGAGGACCATTATTCTGTGTACCACAAGCCCCCAAATCTTCATTTGTCCTGGGAGAGTTCTAAGTCCTCCATCATCCCCTCTGGGTCATTTCCGGGCTCGGGCAATTTAAGCAGCGGGTCAGGGATGGATACTGTGCTCTCGAAGGACCTCACCAAAGGTCAGTTTGAGGAGGGCGTTCTGTGGCCTTGGGTACCCAAAACCCAGCCCCTCGGAGGGAGCATTCTGGGGCAAATCATAGAAATGAATGGTTGGGGCAGCCGATGAAATAAAATGTCGGTGACCTACCTTTGTGTTTCCAGGTGTGGATGTGGTCGAAAGCCAAGTTTATCAATAGGAAATTCCTAATGGAAGAGCTTTACCAGCACTTCCTAGATGGAGAGGACAAGCGCGTGGCTCAGGAAGACGACCCCTTCTGGGATCCTGCTGAGGTCGTCCACTTGGGCTCCGCTCACATCTGGCTGCAGACGCTTGCCTACTGCATGAAGCTGGAGGAGCAGGTGGCGTTTCTGAACTGCGACGGCCTGGAGGAGGCAGTGCTGCACATCCACATGACGCCCTGCTCCCCGGCGGGACAGTGGGTATCTCCTACCCCCCCCCCCCCGGCCTAGTTCTGGGTCTGTCACACACAGAAAACTCAGAGCAAGCCTGAGTTCTCCTGGAAGGGGTGGTCAGGCTGGGACCCCGAAGAGGTCACTCACGAGACAAACGAATGAGCTCATTCTTTCATGATCTGGCCTCATCAAATCTGGCAACCAAATCAGCTGACCTGAATATTTAAAATCCAAGCCCAGCAGCATTCAAGCAGCTCAGCACTGCCCTGGGGGACCAGAGGAAGGAAGAGGGCCTCCTGAAAGAGGCAGGAGTAGGAAGAACCCTGAACAAGAACTAAAGACCTAGGTTGGTTCCCAATAACGGGCCCTCAGGGTAGAGTCGCCAAGTGTGCCATAGGACCGTCCGCCCAGAGCCCTCCCTGGCACCCATGGGGTCCCATGCAGTCTGCTGTTCCCATGCTGACAAAGCCCAGGAGCCAGAAGCAGAGAGCTCACCCCTTCATCCTTGGCACAGGCTCGGGTCATTTCTTTGTTCCTTTTCTCAAAGGAGACACTGAGGTGTCTTTGTTTCCTTCTGTGGCCTCATTCTATGCTGTTATCTGACCTTTCTGTGGGTACAGCCTTTGTTTTAACTCTACTCCATTATGTTTTACCCTCCTCTCAGGATATCTAACCTGTTTTCTCTCTTCAGACTAGGCAGTATAGGCATTTTTTTTTTTTAAGATTTTTATTGGGGAATTGGGGGATGGGAACAGCGCTGGGGGAATTGGAAGAGGGGAACAGACAAGTGGCTGTCCTTTTATGTTCTTCAGTCTAGTTGTGGAGGACGTTGCTTCACTGGCCCAAGTTGGCACCATCATTGTGCTCTTCCCGGGCGAGGCAGATCAGTCGCCGGCTTCTGGATGGCCACTCACTGCGGCTGCTGGCCGCTCATGCTGGCTGCTGGCTACATACAGTAGCCCATGGCAACCCACTGCCACAGGGGCTGCAGCCTATGCCGTTGCTGGCGACTCACGGCAGCCCAACTCCAGGTTGAGCTGTTGTTCAGCATCTTAGTTGTAGAGGGCAGTGTCACTGGCCCTCATATGTGGGATCCGAACCGGGGCCCTCTGGCGCTCCAAGCCAGTTCTTAACCATCGTGCCACTCGGCCGGCCCTAGGCAATTTTTATAAAAGCTAAAGTCTCTTAGCAATTCTACGCAGAGGCTGGCGGGAATGGGGGTCTAGTCTGGGTGCCAGGGCCCTCATACACCCAACGCCATCTTTCTTTGTGAAGAGGAAATGAGCTCAAGAAGGGAGCAAGAGAATTGCAAGGTCCTATGGCTGAGAGACCGAGCTGACCCCTGACTCACCACTGTCTTTACTGGGACTCTAAGCAACTTTCCAGTCATTTGGCTATCTCCAGCCTCTAGGCTGCCTGATGGTTTGATTTCTCATTGCAAACTATTACGGTGACATTTAAGTTTATAGGTGTCAGTCTTTGTGAGATTGGTTGATGTGAGAGAGGTCCCCTGTTGGAAAGCTGTCCGAATTGGTTTCTGAGCTTGTAGGCTTGGAGTTGACGCTGGACGAGGAAGAGCTCCCCAAGGAAAAGGATACCTTGAGAGGCTGTATCTGGGCAGCCAGTTGGCCTCCCTTGGGGAGCAGCACCTCTGTCCCACTGGAACCTACCTAGGTCTTCACTGTGAGTGTAGCACCCACATCTGGGTGCATACCACATGAAGATGTTATGTTCCTGTCTCCTCCTTGAGAAGGACCACACCCTACCGTGGAGTATCAGCATAGAGGGGACTCCTGTTAAGTGTCTCTTGAATGAATGAGTTCTACAGCTGGTAATTTTACCTACTCTTCCTTCAGTGAACTTGGCCATCTCTTAAGGAGCCTATGTAATTCCCTTTGACATCCAAAACCTGAATTGCTTGGGTCCAGGCTAACCTGAACCCAATGTTCATCTCTTCTCTTTCTAGAGCCTGTGGTGAGGAAGACGTGGTTACTGACCCTTGGGAGCTGCTGGGCAAGAGGATGGATTTCCAGATTCACATTGTGCGGTGCCTTGGTGCCCGGTGGCTGAAGGAAGATGCAGAGCGGGGCATCCAGATGGGGTACCAGCCTGGCCCCCACAGCTGCGGGGCACAAACCACCTGCCTTGTGGGTTCTATGGGAGGGAGTTTTTCCTCAAGTTTATCATGACATTTTCTTAAGTTTCTCTGCTCAACCCCAAAAAGACTATTTCCCCTTTCTGCTTAATAGAGAAGCCACACATCTCTCTAGGTTGGTTGACTGTGATCAATGTGTACTGATCCTTCTAAGTGACTGAAGCAGGAATTTTAATTATCAGAAATTTTAATTATCAGGAAGAATATCCAGTAACGCTGTGTTATCTAAGTAGAATGGTTGTTTCGTTTTTCACTTGGAAACTAAAGGACTGTATTACAATATGTCAGAAGCACCAGGTATGCTTAATTAGGCTAAAAGGATATTATTAAAAGATAAAGCAATAAATGGATATTTTGAAGGACAAAAAAACAAAAAAAACCTCAAATGGAAAATGGATTTCAATTTTAGATTATCTAAGTAGACAGTATTTATCAAAATCCTTTTCCTTTTTTTGTTAGACATTTACTGTTATCCCTGTCATGACGATACTCATGTTGAATAGCTGAGATACTGGAGGCGCAAATCACGAGAATCAATTATAGGTCTTCTATCAACTACCCAATGCAAGCTATCATTCTCTGGTTCATCTGATCCTTTTCTTTACAAACATGCCCCTTCTGGTTTTCCACTATGTTTATGTTCTTTCCTCAGGTACAGAATTTATGATCTTCCACACACTTTATATACCAAGCCTGTATGGAAAGTCGTGAATCCCCAAATTGAAGAGTCTGTGCAATTTACATCCCTAAATGCGTCTCAGGACTTTCTGAATTATTTACAGACAAACGCTCTCATTGTTGACTTATGGGGTCTTCAAGGTACCACGTTTACTTCCTCTTCTGCATGGCGCATCCTTTATTCGGTATCATGTCAGTATATTCAGAGCTGCAGAGGAGGGCAGGGGAGGTGCTCAGGGTCTTGACTCGGTGGCCAAGAGCCATCTTCCCCTGAGTCCCTGGGGTCAAATCCACAGGGGATTATGTGGTTTGACATCTCCTCACACAACTCCAGGGCTGGAAAACTGAGGCGCTTCTTTCCTTGATGGTGTCTCCCCCACACTACAGAAGGCTGTACCGAACTGAGCTGCTCTCGGCTGGACCTCAAGGTCACAGGAGAAGGCCACATCATGGTGGACACCAAGAAAATTTCCACTGTGATGGATATAGGCCAGGTGTGTACATGTGACACTGACATGGATGTCACGAATGACAACAACATCTCAGATGTCAATTACTTGGGGATCATCAATGCTCCTTTCCCTTAACAAACATGTTCTTAATTTACTCCTCTGTACCTGGAGGGGCTTAAGCCCTGCGAACCCCCCCCCACACACACACACACTCCATTGAATTGTCACGTGGTAGTAAAATTGCCAGTTTCAAAGGACATGCAAATATCCAGCCAAAGGCTAAAGTGCCATGTTTTTTGTAGACTACATCAACCCAGACATCAGAACTTTATCTGAAGCTGCTCAAGTTAGAACAGGAGACGGAGCTGCTCAGAAACATTAACAGAGCCCTCAGAGAGGAAAATGTGTTTCTCAGAGAATCACTTGAGAAAACTGGTTCTAGTCAACAAGGTGAGAGGCCTCCCGAGAGTTGCTTATTTAGCTTCTCTCTAAACACCTACATTTGGGGTGTGTATTTGTCTTTCTAAGAAATGAGCTTTTTTAATGAGTTAATCCATTATCTTGTTTCATCAAAAAAAGCAGTCTAAATCGGTGCCTGATATGCTGATGTAGTGAATGCCACTGAGGTAAAGAAATATATAAATACCTGGTTAAATAAATAGATAAGTAAATAAATGTCATTTTTTTCTTTCTCCCTCAGCACACAAGCCTCCCGATACCCTAAAGATAACTGGGAGGGCAGCACAACTGCCAGCAGCCAGAGAGATGCATCAAAAGTGCCCTCGGCAAGCCAGCTATGACGGAGAATTTGCCAGAGCTCTGAAAGTCTTCTACCAAAGCATGAATGTGGCCAGGGGGCAGTTCCTCAAGCTGAGACACTACAAGCCTCCTGTAAGTAACCGGAGGGAGGAAAGGGACTCCCTTTCCATTAGTACGTCTATGAATGTCACAGAACTGCGCTTTCTGCACTTGGGCATATGTGTGTGTTTAAGCAGAATAGTAAGAGGAGGCCTGAAACAAACAGAAGGGGGGCACACTTCTCTCGGCCCTCCATCCACCTTTGCTCCTGCTCGTTTTATTTCATGTACATGGCTGGTTCCTGGCAGCCATGGCTACTGCAGGACTGATAATCGTTCACTTTATGAAATACAGAAGAATATCCCAGAAATGCAAGTTTGGTTTATCGTTATAAAACCAAATAAATATAATTCATCACAGTAAGATGTTATAGGAGAAACATCATGATTCCTTCAATAGATGCAGAAAAAGCACGTGATAAAACTCATCCTCCTGCCACAATAAAAACTCGAAGCAAACGAGGAATAAAATGGACATTCCTGAATCTGGTAAAGGCGATCGTAAACGAACACACTTAGCAGGCATCATGCTTAATGGTGAATCCCTGAAAGCCTTCCCTTTCACATCAGGAAGAAGTCAGGGACACCAGCTGTTGTCACTTCTGTTTAAGGCAAGAAATACAAGGTATGAAGTTTGGAAAGGAAAAGGCAACTGCAGTAATAGCATGCATTTGGATAATTCTTACTGAGCTTTACAGCTACTGACTCAATTCTCACGACAGCACTGAGGCAGGTACTATAATTAGCCATATTTTACAGTCAGTGGGTCCAAGGCACAGAGCGGTTAAGGAACCTGTGCAGTGATAGCCAACCAGTAAGTAGCAGGGCCACCCCCAAACCCAGACAGGGCTGCTCCACAGTCCGTGCTCCTTCGCACTACACCAGGCTGCCTGCTGCTGTTCCCAGATGACATATTTATGTAAATAGAAAATCCAGGAGGAATTACAAGTAAACAGAATTACAAAGTTGCTGGATACAAAAATCAATATTTAAAAAATCAACTGCATTTGAAAATAACAGCACCAAGTAGAAAACATTTTAATACAAGAAACCATTTATGATTGCATCAAATATATGAAGTACAGTAAGTCCTCACTTAATGTCAATAGGTTCTGTGACTTTAAGCGAAATAGCATATAATAAAACCAATCTTCTCACAGGCTAACTGATATAAATGAGTTAAGTTCCTACAGTATCTTCAATGTTATAATGAAATGACATTATCTGACGACCTGCTGTACTCAGGCCTATAACTAACTATGTACTTCTATGGAGAAAAATGTAAAACTTGTTTGAGAGGTGTTACAGATATAAATAAATGGAGAAACATGCCATGTCTCCATGGTTTGGAAGATTCGCTATTATAAATCTATCCAGTCTTCCCAAGACTCAATATAATACCAATCAAATGTGATGGAATCTGACAAGATGATTCCACAATTTCGATGGAATTGCAAAAAGCAAAGATAAGCCAAGACCAAGACCCCAAAACAAGGTAGGAAGACTTGGCTGACCTGATATCTAGGCTTATTTTAATGCTACTATAGACAGTAAGCTGTTGGCCCAAATATAGATAAGAACAGAAGGCCCAGAAATAGCTTCACTCAGGAATAGAGGTTTGCTATATGGCAGAGGTGAAACTGCAGGTGAGTGTGGCAAGAATGGATTTTTCAATGATCGGTACTAGGAGAATTAAGAATATGTATGAGGACAAATGACATTGGAATCTTATCTAAAACTATTCCCAGAAGTCAGTTTTAGCGAGAATTAAAGACCCTAAAAATAAAAGGTAAAAACCCTAATGCTGTTAGAAGTTACTTCAGGAGACTGTCTTCATGTCCTCACAATGGAAAAAGATTTCCGAAATGTGACATAAAAAACACCTAGCTTTAAAGAAAAAGACTGATAAATTCACCTACGTTAAAACTGTAAACCATGGTCCAGATACCAAAATGAAGTCAAAAGGGATGGAGAAAGTTATTTACAACACATTTAACATATAATGAATGAACTAATATCCAAAATAAAGAACTACACCCCCCGAAAATAGAAAAAAACAGATAATCCGATAGAAAACAATGGTCAAGAGACTTGAGCAGTAACTTCACACAAGGGGAAATAAAAAAGGCCAATAAGTATTTGAAAAGGTGCTTAACCATTAATAGTTTGGGAAACACTCATTGAAACCACAATGAAATACTATTATAAACCCACCATACCGGCAAAAATTAAAGTCTGAAAATGTCACGTTTGGGTGAAGATATGAAGCAAGAGAAACTCTCACGCACTGCAGGAAGGAGTGTAAACTGGTACAACCACTAAAAAATGGTTTGCCGTTTACCTAATTCGAGCTGAGGACACATCAGGCCTAGAAGGTACAATTCACTCTTCTCCAGAGTGAACTGGTTCTGCAGAGGATTTAGCCCTAACACCCTGATGCACAAGTTCTCAAAGTATGGTCCCCCTACTACCGTGTTTCCCCGAAAATAAGACCTAGCCGGAGAAGAAGCCCTAGCATGATTTCTCCAGGATGTGGCAGGCACGCAGCCCTCACATGAGGGTTTTATGATCTGTTTCAGGGAGAAGGGTGCATTTTCCACAAACTCCTTCAGCTTAAAATATTCAGTATGCCAAGGTGCCATATTTTGGCACCTAAAATCATGCGAGGGCTTATTTTCTGGCTAGGTCTGATTTTGGGAAAAACAGAGTAGCAGCTTCAGCATCATCTGGGGTCTTGTTAGAAATGCAAATTCCAGGGCTCATCCCAGACCTTGTGACTCCAAATCTCTAGATGTGTGGGGCCCAGTCATCTGTGCTTTCACGAGCCTGCCAGACGATTCTGCTCTAAACTGAAGTTTGCAAACCACCTCACTAAGGCACCCAATGTATGTGATGCATTCATTTCTTCCTTATTATCTAGAATGGTACTAGTTAGTCACCATTTTTGAGAAAACTGAGAAGACGGTCACTCAAATAATTTTCTGTTCTGTGGTTCAGATGAGGGGCCAGCTGAAACACTGCAACTTTTGCCTATGTGCACTGCTTATTTATTTATTTTTTTTAGCTGAGCCATCCTGCCACCTGTTTGGCAGCTCAGCGGCAGCTCAGCTCAGGCCGGACTCGAACTGCTGTTGCTCAGAGCTCAAACCTTTAAGCGAGCTCTTAACCAACTGAGCCACTCAGACGGCCATGCACCGGTTATTCTTAACACCACCTTCCGTAATAGCCCCGCACTGGACACATCCTAATATCCAACTTGGTGCTGCTGTGAAAACGAACTACAGCCACATGTGACAGGGGGACTCTCACCACCAATACTGCTGACTGAAACCTGCAAGTCCCAAAGATGCCATTCAGTATGATTCCGCAAATGGTCAAAAGATAGGCAAAACATACTGTTTTGGGCTGCATTCTAGGTGGCTAGGAAACGATCACACAAGTCAAGTTAGTGGTTGCTTCTGGGGGAGAGGGTGAGGGAGTGACCGGGAGGAGCTCAAGAGACAGAGTTCTTTCTTGAGCAGGTGTGTTCACCCTAACACACATATGTCCCTTGGCATATGTTTTGGGTACAATTCTGTATGCGTACCTCACAATATAAGAGAAAGAAAAACTGGTTCCATAGACAGTCTAAACAAAGTTAAAAATAAGCCATAGCCTGGGAGAATCTATTTGTATTATTTATCATCAAAGATTAGTATCCAGGGCCGGCCAAGTGGCACATTGGTTAAGAGTTGGCTTGGGACACCAGCTCTGAGCAGCAGGGCCCCGGTTCGGATCCCACATGAGGGCCAGTGATGCTGTGCCCTCTACAGCTAAGATGCTGAACAACAGCTCAACCTGGAGCTGGGCTGCCACGAGTTGCCGCTGATGGCGTAGGCTGCAGCGGGGCTGCAGTGGGCTGCCGTAAAGCTACCGTGAGCGGCCAGCAGCCGGCATGAGCTGCTGTGAGCAGCCATCCAATGGCCGGTGAGCGACTGCCTCACCTGGGAAGAGCGCAATGATAATACCAACCACAGGCCAGTGAAGCAACGTCCTCCACAACTAGACTGAAGAACAAAAAGGACAGCAACTTGTCTGTTCCTCTTCTCCGATCCCCCAACACTGTTCCCCTCCCCTAAATCCCCAATAAAAAAAAATCTGAAAAAAAAAAGATTAGTATTCAGAATATATAAACAATCACTTTTAAAATAAGGAAGACATGTTGGAAAAAATGGCCAAAGTTCTTGAGCAGGCTTTTCACCAATAATTAGGGAAAAAGAAACCAAAACGAGATGCCTTGACACACGATCTGCCCTCTGCCCACCCCACCTTAGTGAACTCTGTCGCCATCTCCTCCATCCCTGGTCACTGGCACTCTGGCCCACAGGTGTCCCTGCGATCCCTTCTCAGGGGTACCTGCTTCCATGGGGCAGGGGATGCACAGGCCAACCCTACTGATGGGAGAGCCCCCACCCCACACGGTCCTCTGCAAACCCCAGGACGTCTGCAAGATTACAGGAACACAAACCATTCTAATTAGAAATGTTTGGATTACCACCAATCTTCACTATTGGCAGTGACTAAAGGGCTGGCCATTCATACAGCCTTCCTGAGACCAAACATGTTCCCAGGTGACTTACTGCCTTTGCTGGCAGCTTTCAAATGCAGCTTTCTAGCCCAAAGGGAGAACTTATGGGCACCCCCCTTGTGTGTACAAACAGTGTTTTTACTCTAATGATGTGAGTCTACTATTTTTTTTCTTTCGTTTATTTTTTAGGAAGACAATCAAATGCTTCGGCCATTTGTACACCAACAGTCACAAATGTTAAGGGACTTTGGGGACCTACTTGAATCCAGCTTGTGGAAACTGAAAAATGATGTAGCTCTTATAGTGAAAAAGAAGAGAGAATGTTTATTGCATAGCGAATAATGAGGATATACCAACTGAAAACACTGCACTTTGCGCCATGACGATTACTTGGGCTGCTAACGAGCGTAATGAACTTGGCTATCAGAGCTGAACTGTGGACTCAATTTCCCAATTACTCAACCTATTTCTTCTACCATTTTAAAGCAAACCTCTTCTTCATTTTGATTTAAAATAAAAAGGGAGTCTCGCTCGAAGGCAGGAAAATCTGGGCTGGTGATTTCTGCTTCATACCTGCAGCCCAGGGGCTTCTGGGAAAGCCTAGGGTTCTGCCTGCAGCTTAGGTCCTGACTGAATATACACATATGAACCAAAATATAACCTGTACCCTCAGAGCCCAAGTATGGAGCTCCGGGTGGTGATGGCAGGACCAGGGGTCAGCAAAGTGTCATGGAATCGTGTGGCAGAACAGCAGGGAGGCTGTGGGAAGGAAGTAGGAACACCTTCTCCCTCTCGAACTGAGCCTCAAAGTTCTGGGACAATTTGCGGAAAGTGTACTGCTTGCTTCAAGTGAGTAATATACTTTCTGCAAACGAGAACAGGTAAAACCTTGGGGGGGTGGGTTAAAAAGAAAATTAGGGGGCGGCCGGTTAGCTCAGTTGGTTAGAGCGCAGTGCTCATAACATCAAGGTTGCCGGTTCGATCCCCACATGGGCCAAGGAGCTGC